ACACACTTGAACCCTTTGCTTTAGTCACTGTGTCAATACATCTTGCTGAGGAACTTCCTCTCTTTCACTGACTCTCTCCCTTTCCAGGCATAATGTTTCATTTCAAGGACATGCCCAGAGTATATGAGATCAAGTGTGCCATCCTTGCCTCTAAGTAGCACTCTGGTTGCACTTTCACCAATTACATTAGTTTCTGCTTTTCTGAGGATGTCTTGATCTCTCTGTCATATTATGGACAATTTTGCTGGGTACAGTAGTTGTAACTCTGCCCTCTCCTGTGCCATCCTCACCATCTCTAAAACACTCAAGCTTGTTGCTGAAGTCACCATGTCAATCCATCTCATTGAGAGTCTTCCCCTCCTTTGCAGACCCTACATCTTTCCAAGCATGATATTCCTCTCCAATGAATAGCCTCGCTCAATTACAAGTCTGTAGAATGAAAGATGAAACTCTGCCTCCAAGGAGCATTCTGGCTATACTTTCTCCAAGATATATCTAGGTTTCCGTATTTCCCTTCCTTTCTTATTCTTCCTTTTGTGGTTCAGTGCTGAGAGCTCTATCTTCTGTTTCCCTGAATCTGCGTTCCATCACTATAATTCTGTTATCTGTCCCTCCAACGTGCTGATAGCTTCTGAGATGTTGATCTTATTATTCTGGATTGCTCTTTTTTGTTTTGCTATGGTTTCTAATGCTTCATTGGTTTTATCATCTTTGTCTTGCATTGCTTTTAAAAGTTCCCCTAGGGTTTTGCTTATAGCTTCTTCTCAATCTCACTTTTTCTTTCATCCAGTGAAAACACTGGTCATTTTTCTTTTGGATTCTGTGTCAAGCTTTAACAGGCTTTCCTCCTCCAGGATATCCATTGATTGATTCTGTGCTTGAACATTTTTCTGGATTGAAATCTTCCTTTGGTTTTGTGTGGGGCTTGAAGTAGTTTGCTTCTTACATGTCATTGTTTTGCTAGAGCTTTTCTTGCCTGGAGTCCTCTCTGGTCCGAGATTTGGAAATTTTCTTTGCCTGAGATCCTCACTGTCCCAGTGGCTAGTAGGACAACTCACCCTGCCTAAAGTCTTCTCTGGTCCCAGGGTGGCAAGGAGACTCATTCCGAGGTGATAAACCTTAAAGATGTAATCTACTCATTTTACTGGGAATCAGGGGGTGAATTTGAATTGCCAATCTTTGCTTAGCAGGCCAATGCTTAAATATGTCATCAGTTCTTCTGTAGAGATATGTTGACAAAAATTTTGCAGAAAAAATAAATTAATTCAGGTGGCAGAATGAGAAGTCAGAGAAGCCTTGGTTGCTGCTAACCACAGTGAGTAACTGCTCTGTCCTGAGGCACTGCCCAACTCCAGATTTCTTGCTTCAGGAGAAAAACAGCCTCCTTATTAATTTAACCACTGAAGTCAGGTTTCCATTAATATAATGAAACACAATTCCTAGCTGACACATAAAATGATTGAAACTTATATCTATAAATTCTTACATAAAGGAGGAATGTCCAATAATATTAATATTAGGCACAGTTAAATTCAAGATGAAAAGCATTAAAGGGAACACAGAGGACTTTCTTACTGATAAAAGTTACAATCCATTAAGAAAGATGTATCTAAAAACAGATTTTAACTAAATTGACACACACATACAAATGCTATATATGAAGAACTAGTAGATAAAAGAAATAGATAAATCTATAATCATAAAGACATTAATACATCTCCCTCAGAAACTGACATTTATCATGAGAATACTGTGTTTAATTTCATGCCAATAGACTAGAAAATCTAGATGTCATGCATGATTCCCTAAGAAAATATAAATTACTAAAATAAGTTCAAGAAGTAGAAATCCTGAATAAAAGATTACCCTGAGAAGAAATGAAAGGATGTCAATCAATGATCTATTCCTCATCCCTTCACACCACCATCTCTTCCTCTGGGTCCTGCTGTCCAGCCCCTCAGGAAGCCACTAACTCTAAATGGTTTTCCATGTGAAATATATCATCCTACTAAAAATAGACAGCACACTGTATTATGTAAGCCATTTTATATATGAATTTGGTATTACAAATGGACCTGGGAAAATGATCTTGTTTAAATTCTGACAGTATAATTTTTTGGCAAGTATAAAGTTAAGTTCAAAATCAAGAAAAAAAGATTCTCACCAGAGGGCTAATTGGCAGCATCATTATGGATTGTGAAGAGATACAGTTTTCATTTGCTTGGCTCCATAATCAACACTCTTGGTACCAGCAGCCAGGAAATCAAGAGACAAATTGCATTGGGAAAGTTAGCTGTCAGGTACCTCTTCAGAGTATTGAAGAACAATGATGTCAGTCTGGAAACTAAGGTGCACCTGATCCATTCCATAGTCTTTGCAATTGCTTGCTATGCATCAGAGAGCTGGACAATGACTACAGATGATAGAAAGAGAATTGATGCCTTTGTGCTGTGGTGCTGGAGAAGAGTATTGAATATATTATGGACTACTAGGAGAACAAAGAGGTTCATTCTGAAGAAGGTAAAACCAGGCTGCTCCTTGGAAGCAAGGATTCTGAAGCTTCATCTGACATACTTTTGACATGTTATAAGGAGGGAACAGTCCTTGGAGAGGGAGATCATGCTTGGAAAGGTGGAGGGGCAGTGTAGGAGAGGAACACCCTCAATGAGATGGATTGATTCAGTCACTGGGGCAATGGGGTAGATGTGTCAGTGACAATGTTTGGCACAGGCTACAGCAAGGTCTAGGGCTCTTGTACATATGGTCCCTATGATTTGCAAGTGACTCAACAGCACATAACAACAACAACAACAACAACATAGAGTTAAGTGTGGATATTTTTATTGTCTTGTACACTCTGAAATCCCATATTTATGGAATTGCACTTTGATGAGAAAGCTGAGGGAAGGCGTGCAGGCTGTGGCACATGCTCCTTGATGAGAAACAGAGGCTTTGCTTTCATTTGTACTGTTTTTATCTTGGTGCTCATCTTGGGAGCCATAAACAGTAAGTGTGGATAAAGGACGTGAAATTTCAACTTTTCTGTAATTGTTTGTTAAAATCACACCAAGAAAAAATAAAAAAAGAAAAGATATTGTATACAGGAATAGCTGTGTAGTCATCTATTGAGATGATGAACATTGTCATGCTGTATTTCCTACCTGCTTTATGGAAGATTCCTGGTGGTATATAGTGTTTAATGTACACTGATGCTATGGGAAAGCTGACAGTTTGAATCCACTATCTGCTGTATGGGAGACAGATGAACAGCCTCCTCCTGTAAAGATTCACCGCCTCAGAATCTGACACAGAGCCATTATGCTTCAGAACCAACTTGTGACAGAGGGCTTTTTCTTTTATAATGAGCCTTGATGTCACCATGGTTAAGCAGTAAACTGGGACCAACGTAGTGTGGATCCACCGGCTTCTTTGTGGACAAAAGATGTGGTAGTCTATTTCTCTAATGATTACAGCCTTGGAAACCCTATTGGACAGTACTGTTTTGTGAATTGGAATGGACATCTATTATTTTCTATAAAACTAAGTAAATACAGTATTGGACAAAAGCCAATTTATTAAAAGAGCCTATTGCATTTTGTAAATATACTTGTCAACGTCAATCTGTAATTTCCCTGTATTAAATTATATAAACAAAGCTAAATTTTGAAAAAGTACAAATTATTTTTAATAAAAAAATGATAAAACAAAACAAAATTGTTACTTCATTCCATGAAGCGAACATTATCCCTACGAAGCTCTAGTGGCCCTAGTGGGTCAGGAGTTGTACTGCTAACTCAAAGAAATCCACTTCAAATCTACCAACTGCTCTAAGGAAGGAAGATGGGCAATTTCTTCTAGTGCCATTTTCAGTCTCTGAAAACCTACAAGAGAGGTTAGCTATATGTCCTCTTTGACTAGACAGTACATAACAACTATAGCATAGTACCAATCTATTTCTTAGAGATGCATCTTTTACGAATAGCTGTGTTGTTGTTGTGTACCACAGAGTTGGAACAGACATACAGCTAACCTACAGTGAGGTTTCAGAGGTAATTATTAATCACACAGGAGATTTCCCATCCTTCTCCGGTGGAGCTGCTAGTGGCCTTGAACAGTGTGCTTACAGGATTGCAGTGCAGCTTCTTGCCAGTAGGCCACCAGAGCTCATGAGTTACAATTAAAATATATGTTATAAATTAGTTCATCAAGAGATGATATTTTATAGATAGAAATATCTATTTTATAAGTGTGTAAAATCCATACAAGCGAATACCCTGGTTTTTATTATTTTTTTGATAGAGTGAAATAAAATGCAGCTAAAATTCTAAGTTATTTATGAAATGAGGTATGGGAAAACGTAAAGGTTTCCTTTGGTGAATGTGGTTTTATTTTTCTAGGTAACCTATAGTTTTTATTTCTGTTTTAAATGTTGTTGTTGTTATGTGCCGTCGAGTCGTTTCCGACTCATAGCGACCCTATGCACAACAGCTCAAAACCCTGCTCTATCCTGCACCAACCGCACTGCCTCTGACACACCCATCCCAATTATCCCAGT